TTATATAACTTATCAAACAATAAACCATGATCAACACTGTCGAAGGCCCTAGAAAAGTCAGTATATATAGCATCAACTTGTTTTTTGTCTTCCAAAGCCCTCAGCAGTGATGACTGGTATGAAACCAAGTTTGTGGTAGTGGATCTGCCTTTGGTAAATCCGTGCTGAGCCTCATCTAACAGCCCCCGGCAGGCCCATGTCAATTATTGTTTGCATATCAATTCATCTAGCAATTTTGGAATCACAGATTGGGTACAAATACTTCTATAATTTTTAATGTTTTGCTTATCGCCAGTTTTAAAAATTGGGAACAAGTAGCTATTTTTCCATACATCTGGATATTCTGAACTATTAAGAGAGAGATTGAACAGTATAGTAATAGGCGTGGTTAATGTGCAAACATACCTCTTCAATAGCAACTCTGGAACTCCATCAGGCCCTACCGTGACTCTGTCAGAGAGGCTCGCTATTTCCCCAAAAATGGCCTCCTTAGTAAATGAGTGCCAAGTGATATTGTTGTTTGGATAACAATTTTCTGTTTTAGGAAGACTGAACGATGAACTTGGTGAGTAAACTGTGGAAAAGTACTCCCCAAAAGCACTAGCTATGCCTTGCTCCTCACTCAACAGCTGATCATCATAAACCATTTTTGAAGGCAAATCGTATGTTCCCTTCTGGTCTCTAATAAATTTCCAAAAATATTCAGGGTTTGCCTTACAGCTGTCATTTACAACTCCCATGTACTGGGTTCTCATTTGATTAGAGAGCAACTTGCACTGAGACCTAAGAAGAGAGAACTCTTGATCAGTCATATCATTCATATATTTTTTGTGGGCATTTCTCTTCCTAAATGTCAGTTGTTTAAGCTCAGGCGAGAACCATTTTGGAAAGGTATTAGTTTTTGATTTTTTTAAAGGTACGTAATTTACAATGGCCTCGTTAATGATCTCGTAAAAGATAGAAGTTGCCCTATTAATATTTTTGTTTGCTAAAATTTCTACCCATTGTATAGAAGCTAAAAAATTGTTTAAACCTACATAATTACAATTTTTGAAATCATAGTAGAAATTATCAACAACTAACTTTTTATTAGGAGCTTCCTTAGTCATAACCTTACAGTCATAAGAAATGTGGTGATAACTGTTATCAAATATCGGATCACTTGCCTTATTAACCACTAAATTACCAATATTAGTAAAAGCCAGGTCCAAGAAAACACCTCTGTCATTTGGAATAGTATTCACCTGGAACAGCTTCAAAAACCAAAAAGATGCAGCAACAGTCAGTGCATTTGAATTTGCAGGGCACTCCACATTAACACCATAATCATCATTCACCCACACTGCCTCGGGTAAGTTATAGTCACCAAAGAGCAGTAATTTACTGTTTGGATAGCGCTGTAATATAGGTTGGACAGACCTGCAGAGCATATCATAGATGTCATTATGTTGATTGGGAGGAATATATACGCCGCCAATTATAAAACATTCTGACCCAATATTAAACACAATAAACAGCTGTTCAATTTTATTTTGGCCCACTGGCACAATGGATGCTGATAAGTATTTTTCCTACGAGCGTGCGCAAAGTAGTACTTTTCCGCACGCATTTCCGGGCTCAAAGTTACACTTTTCCGCACTCAGTGCGGATACAGGCCTTATCCGCACTGAGTGCCGAAAAGTAATTATAATTGTCAAGCAACAATAAGTGCACCTGTCGACTTTGACACATGATGACAAATTTTTCCTCTATTTCTATATCAGCCAACATCTATACAAACACCAATTATAAATTAACTTTGACACATTGTCAGATTTGTTCTCTATTTATATGCAAAAATCTACAAACTTTCTCATCAAATTTAAACGCTTTAAGATGAACAGCTCTGACGAGGATTTTATGTTTTTTGTTATGTAATTTTTTGATAAATGCATAGGTTCCCTTCAAGTTAATTAAAAATAATTAAACAAATTATCGTTTTTTGTTTAAATTTCTGTTATTACGTACCTGATATGAAGCTCGTAGGAAAAATTTTGTTCCTAACACGTGCGCAAAGTGTCTTTTCCGCACGCAAACACGTATCCGAACTCCGCTTCGCGTCGTTCGTATAACTGTATTCGCGTGCGGAAAAGTAACACTTTGCGCACTTGTTAGGAAAATAACTATTCTAGCGTATATGAGGACTCCCCCACCCCTACTTTTCATGCTGGTTTCACTAGGTGCCGGTACTTTTGCTCTCATTTGACAGCCGTTAAAAATAATCAGGGCTTTGAATGTGCTCTAACCACATCATACTTATAGACCTTGGTCCATGCAAAATTTTGACGACGTATCAAATTCGTTAATCGACAGCAAAAGTATCGGCCCTAGATCTATCAAAACGGAAGCTATTATATTTATCACATTGTATTTCACCATCAGTAATACTATCACAGAGATTACTTTCTATTATTACCAATATATCGTAATCCGAACAGTTCAACATATTAGTGAGGTCTTCAATCTTTGTGCGAAGACCTCCTGTGTTCATATAGAATACAGTTAATGGGGTGCAGGGGTATTTTTTGGATCAGGTCCAGTACCTGTTGTTTGGGCTTTAATTTCATTAATAGGAAACCCATTTCTGTATTTCAGAGCGACTGATTCGCCTTTTTTTACACGATCCTGGTATTCATCCCTAATCTTCTTATGAGTCTCCTGTTGCAATTTTGTCAAATCCTTAGAAATCCTGATCTTGGTCGAACCAAGCTTGTTGCCATTTTTGAGGATGCTGTACACAACATCTGGACAGGTAAAGACAACTTTTAGAGGCCTTATTTTATCATCTGCCAATCTGCCAATACGCACCATCTTCAATATTTTTTGATTTTCTTCAGCTAAACCCAAAGATGACAGAAGATTCTGGACATGCTTACTTACTGTCATTTTCAATTCGTTCTTGAAGAACTGCGGACTTAGACTGCGGAATATTGAAAATTATAATATTATTGGCTCTTCTAGCACGCTCGTTAACCTCACTTGTGAGATACTCTATATCTTGGGTTGGGGATTGCACATTTGCTTCATAAGTACTCATTCTTAACTTAAGAGCCTCCACTTCTGTATTCAATGAAGTATTATCTTCACGTAGCTGTTTCACATCAGTTGCTAAGCTCTGGATCGCCTTTTTTTGTTCTTTGATACACTCAGCGACCGTTTGAGAAGATTTCTTGATCTCAGCCATGTCCTTCTCGATCCCTTTATTGAAGGGGCCTAGGAACTCAGTTAATAAATCCTTGAATATTGCTCTAATTTTCTTTTCATCTAAGTTATTGGCCATTTTCGGTTGACAACAGTTAACGCTTTCCTGTTGGTTTTCCTGGAGGTAAGTAGCCTTAGCTTGTCTTGCACAGCTGGGATGGAACGCCGAGCAACAGTTTTCAGAGCCAAGCGAGGTTTTTACGCCTTTTTTACAATGTTTGCAAATTTTCTCGTCCATAACATAACCTCACATTTGATTTATTTGATTTCTTGCAGAAATAAACATTTCAAGCAGAAAATACTTGCAAAATACACTAAAACGGTAACAATCGTGCTGCTATTTATCAGAATTAACAATTTTAGATATATAATGACCAAGATTTTTCGGAATTTTACTCAATTTCCAAATGTAAACAACCTAGCCGTCAGCTGGTTAACCTTATTCTCTTGTATGTATTTTTAAGTCGGATAGATCGCCAAAGCGTGAATCCATTCCTGAAATGAACAAAAATTTGGAACCCTGTGAACTTACCTGCAATGGACATCACTAAAATATGCCACTTTTGTCTAATTTACCCGACCTCGTAGTTCTTACCTCTTACCTTTTCGGAAATAGAAATAGTGGTATCACCGAGGGTATCAAAAACGTACACTGAATACTAGGTACACAATGAATTAAAATATTGACTGAAGATCGAGGAACCAGTGAAAAAAAATTAAAATGAACATAAAGTTTTGTAAAATTATTAATCAGGTACATCACAGAGGGTAGTAATTCACAGTTTATGTGGCACTATCACAAAACCCTATCATGGCCATTTGCACGGCTATCACTTAAGGGATATCTAATCTAAGTGGAGCTTTGAATGTGACTTTTGTTTCCACAAGAGGCACATTCAAAGCTTCACTTGGATTAAATATCGGTGCAAATGGCCGTCAAACAAACAAGAAAGTTAGTTCCTTCTTAAATCTTAAAGCATGAAAGCTGAATATTTTTAATTGAATCAGGCAAATGATTAAAGATCTTCTTGCTCTGATAAATGAGGCATCGCTTCGTCAATGTGCTTGAAGGTATGGGAAGCGGAATATTGTTTAGACCACGGGTCATATTACTACTATTAGTAACTGCGAACTCATGACGATATTTGTATACTAAAACAGAGACCCCAAGACAAAAAGGCTAGTCAAAGTGAGTATACCCTCAGAAACAAATAATGGTCTATACTATAAATCAGCAACACCCTCACCACAAACAATTCTTAGGGCTTTCTTCTGCGAAATCAAAAGAACATTAAATAGGGTCTTGGATGTGAACCCCAAAATGGCAATCCATACCGAAGGCGCGACTCAACTTAGTTTACTTTAATGCAAAACATCCTGATGACAATTTACTGCACGAATCCAGAATGTGCCCCTCAAAACCAAGCCGCGCGTCAATAAAAAGGCCCAAAAAACAGACACTCATCCCACTCCTGTGACTGTTATCATCAAGCCGCAAACCATCAGTAATGCACTTAAACCCCATAACACTAGTCTTACCTGCATTAAAGACCAATTCATTAGAGGCACATCACTCTAATAGTACGTGGGTACAGTCAGCTCAAATGCTATTAGGGCCCCCATTACTTCCGAATTAGGAGGACACCAAATACTTAATAGTGGTATTATTTTCCTGAAGTTGTACAAGTTCTTTCCACCATTGGCCTTTCTTAGTTGTTCGCCTAGTGAATTAATTTGTCTCTTTTTTCTAATATTTTCAGTCGTTGCTGTGGATCTAGGATCAGGGTGGAAATGTCAAGTGGCAGATCTCGCAGAGGCGGCGGTGGTGGCAGAAGGGGTAGATATTCATCTAGAGACAGGTGAGTGTTAATTTTTGATTTTTTTTGTATTTATTAATCAAACACAAAAAAAAATATGTTATACATTTCAAGAGTTCTTCTAGTGTAGTAGCTTTTTGTTCGAACAAGTTTATTCTCTAAAGATTTTAGAAGTGTTATCATTTAAGTTCTGTTGAATAAACTTGTTTGAAGTTAAAGCAAGGAGGAGCAACGGTAAAAAAGGTTTATGGGCGTTACAGGATGCCTGCAACATCAGCGCTGTTCCACCACCACAACCAACTACAACTCATCCCCCCTTGAGACTACACACCAACCCCCTACCGTTCGTCCCCAAGGACTTGAATACAACACAACATCATCATTCTTAAATTAAAAAATAAATAAATAAAAACAAAAAACATCACGTGATATCCACTTCCCTCTCTACGGCATGAATTTGTGGATAAATTATTTGAAAAAAAGCAACCACCACAATGTCCCCTTCAATCAGTAGCATCGCTGCACCTCCTATATTGTCGACATTGGCAACGCTGCACGTCTACATCCATTCCCCCTCTCGTCAATCAACGTGTGGCAACGATGCATGGGTCATACACTAAGTACTACAACAACTACTTGACCATCGAATTTTCAACTTTAATTTTCTGCTTTCTGCTACTCTACTACTCAGCGCTAAAACAGTCTGGTGGGCTATATTTAATAGAATGTTTTTTTTTTATATATATGTATTTTTTTGTCTATTTCTCGTATATTTTATGGCAATTTTAGTATTGAGCAATATTTTCAATAGCTTCACATGTTAATTTTTGTTTTTTGGTGGCTCAGATTATCAATTAAAATATTGCTCAACATTGACTTTGAATTTTTTTTCAAAAACTATTTCTATATCTACATACTAACCTTTCTTGGAGTAGCATTTAAAGAGAAAATTACAAATTAACTCTTAATTTCCATATCTTGTAGCTAGTTTTCAATGATAATTTCTCAATCTGATGGCCAGCTTCACACAAGTTGGAAATGCTGAGTCTTAGTCAAATGTAGAGAAAGGTTTGGGCAATTTTATTTTTCTTCCCCAATTGAATTGTTTCAGATACTAGGTTCTTAATTCATAATAGTGAACTAATTGATGCACAGTTATTTTTCTCTATCTATTTATTCAGTACTTTTCAATTATTGTATTTGAGTGCCTTATATGTAAGATAAATTTAATAAACTTGAGATGATTAGGCTTCGTGTTTTCTAAATGGAGAGCATATTATTGAGAGTGTTGATTGATAGCACTCTAATATTATTGTTTTCTTTCTTTTCTATTATAAATATAATATAATTATTTCTATAATATAATATTTATTACTTAATACAAATACATTTCGACCTATTTTAAAGCTGAGCTGACACAGTAATGCTAACTCCTATAAGACCAAAATTAAATTGCCAAAAAACACAGTTTTTCTCTAAATTTGATCATTATCCACTATTTCCAGAAAAGTCACAATAATTTTTTGAGAAAATAATTCAAGTTCTCTGGTAGATTTTTAAATGCTATGTTACAAGGTTTGGAAATTAAGTTAAAAAAAGTGTACCTATTAACTATGGGAAAATGTATTTTTTTAAAAATTTAAAGCCATTTATTTACTTTCCAATTTTTATAGGTCCCGTTCTCCAAGACGTTCGAGATCTCGATCTAGATCTCGTGGCCGCAGATCTGATTCCCGAGATCGCAGAAGTGATTCTCGTGACAGACGCTAGATAGCGTCCGTGCATGTAATTATTTTGTCAGTAAGAGGCAGGACACGATTTCACATTAATGGAAATTTGAAACAAAAATGCTTTCGACTTGGAACTTTTTCAGTTTTCAACATGTTCCATTTATTATTTTCTGCTTGGTATCATTTTTAATTGATTTAGGGTTTTTGTTAGAATAAGTAAAAACACTTGCGTATTGAATGACAAATTTCGCAATATTTTCTTCTATAAAATACTATTTAACTTAATATAGCTAGTAATAGTAGTTGTATCTTTATACAACTTAAGCGTAAAAAAATTAGATGTTGTGGAGGATAACTGCATACATAAATATTATGTTCTAGTTGAGTACCTCAACTTGTGCAAGTTTTCAGATTAGTGTTTTTTGTGGACTTTATGAAATTGTAAGAGTTTTTTTTTTTAATGTAATATATCAATTTGAAAATTAGAATTTGGGTATTGTGAACTTTTTAATAACAAACCTTTTTTTAGTTCACTAGTCTGAGAAAGTGAACTAATTTTCAGCTAAAAGTTATAATGGTTTACTGAACAAAACTTAATTTTTTATAGAATAAGAAATAGTAGATATAGGTGAGCTAGCTCAGGAAAGAATATAAGGAGATGAAATGGAATGGGAAGACATAAGCTCCTTAGTGCTCTCAAAAGATCACTTATAATAAAATATCAAGTCATGGAACCATCAATGCGACCCACACTGTTTAAATTGAAATACTCAACTGAATCTGAAAGAGTTATCGCTGGAGTCAACAACGTTCTCAGAGATATCATTCATGCGATATTCTAGAGAAAACCCACCAACTGGTCTACTACGCTGCGGATGCTGTATGGTCGTTGACAGGAATACCTGAGAGAAAAGAGAGACAAGTTAAAACAAATAATAATCGCTCACCACCACGGAAAGAGAATCGAGAGAAAAATAAATTACATCAGAAAAACAATCGAAAGCCTACCTCACCAACCCCAAGGAACACAAAAGAAAATTAAAGAAGGCAATCAAGAACATTGCGAAAGAAGCAAAAATAAAAAGGAACTCTGCAAACTACCAACAACAACTAAATAGTTACCTAGATAAGCAAAAGCAAAGGTTAGCTGTGCTAGGAGCAAGAATAGCCGATACAACAAACGCAATCACAGGTACAGAGATCCAGGGAAGTTTTACAGATCACTGACCCAGCCCAAAGTGGAAGATGACAACTCTCCACCCCCTGAACCACAAACCATGCTAAAATTCTGGGAAAACATATGGTCCATACCTGAATACCACTAATAGTATGCATATTGGATTTAGGAAAAAACTGATGAAAACGGACGAAACCCAGCTATGGAAAACTTTAGAATTGAGGTTGCCGATATAAAAAAAACCTGGTTAATAAAAGTGCTCGAAATTCACAAAATAGACCCACCGGTTGTCAATCTACTGAAACAACTGATACAACAGTGGAGAACGAGGCTTGGAGTCCAGGCAGAGAAACAACAGTATCTCACTCAATATTTGCAAGTCGAAAGGGGAATTTTTCAAGGAGACTGTCTGAGCCCCTTGTGGGTTTGTCTCGTTCTCAACCCACTCAGTTCACTGCTTAACCGAAACCCATATGGCTATAAAATAGATGAACCGCGAGGTCAAAAACTGACCCATGGATTCTATATGGACGATTTCAAGTGTTACGCAGCTAACGGTGAGCAGCTTCCTAATCAAATTGTGTCAAATTTCAGCAAGACCATAAAGATGGAATTCGGACTGGACAAATGTGCTGTCTTACATGCCAGAAAAGACAAACTGGAAGCGGGAGATACTCTTAAGTTCATGGATGGTATCGAGATGGCAACAGATGAAACTTTAAAAGTATCTGGGTTTCCAGCAAGCGCTGAACATAAAAATATCAAACATGGAGGAAAACATCACACAGCAGCTAAAGAAAAGAATACAGCTCTTACTAAAAACTATTTTAAATGCAAAGAACATCTTCACTGCGATCAACACCTGGACTATGTCTTTTGTAGTGTTTATTTTTGGAGTCCTCAACTGGTCTGATACTGATCTGAAAAAAATAGACCCATTAGTCCATAATTTCTGCCAGAGGTTTAGTAGAAAGACGACTCAGAAAAACTCGACCTGGCCGGACTAATGCACAAAGACCGATGGTGCTTGGAACATGTCATGTAGTGCGGCGTTATGTGCTGCACAAGACGTAACCTAGACTTCAGCCCGGTTACCGCTCGAAACATTTTCCCTTTAAAGGTGAATATAAAAAATAAATAATAATAATCATCGTTCTCCAGAAGAACAAATAACCTATCTTATAAAGTTTGCCTTACAAGTCTAGCACTATGGAAAGAATGCGGATAAAAAAATTGCAATATTGCCTATTTGACTCCTTAATATTTATCTATGTTATACACCTATATTTATAAGAAAAAGTAATATTTAAAAACGCTGCGCCCACGCCTATGACAGGCAGCATAAAGCTCGAAATGAATGGCGTTATTCTCCCTTGCCCTTCAGACGTCGTAGTGCTAGACTCGTGAGGCGAACTATAGACATATCCATACCAAATGACCCCTATATTCAGTCTTCAGACCATAATGAGAAGTTGCAAAGTATACGAAACTATAGAAGTTCAGAGACTCTGGAAACAGAAAAAAGTTATAATCATACCATTCATCATCTCAACCACAGGCATCACCCCACATATCTTTAATGCACATCTCGAGCAACTAGGTCTCATCAACCCTAACATTCACACAAACATACAAAAAGGTAGGTTATCCTTAAAACCTGCTATATAGTAGGTACGCTCATTCCTCAATTCGGGCAATAGACTCCACACAAGATTTGCTAAGAGCCCGTCATCTCAGAAACACCACTTTGTGCAAAGTGAGAAAAAGAGAGATCATAATAATAATAATAATAATAATAATAATAATAGTAATAATAATAATAATAATAATAATAATTTGATAATAATAATAATAATAATAAACCGAAAGCATAGAAATAAAACGAGGAATATTCCAGGGGGATTCCTTGTGAGCTTTGTGGTTCTGTCTATCTCTCAACCCCTTATCTAAAGCCCTAAACAGAACAGGATATGGTGCCACTATAACAACCGGACGCACAAAAGAAGTAATAAGCCATCTATTCTTCATGGACGACCTAAAGCTATACACGGCAACCAAAAAACAACTTCAGATAGCCCTTGATATAACTCGAAAATGTAGTCAAGACATAGGGATGACATTTGGCCTGAAAAAATGTCAAACTGTTACAGTTGAGAAAGGAAAACTAATTGAAGCTCAACCGATGCAAATAGATGAAGAAACTGTTATACAATCAATGACAACCGAACCATACAAATACCTAGGAATACTACAGACAAACAGAATCGAACACAAGGAAATAAAAAACATACTTACCAAAGAATTCCAGTCAAGACTAAGCAACATATTAAAAAGCAAACTTAACTCAAGGAATATAGTCATAGCAATAAATAGTTACGTTCTTCCAGCACTACAGTATTCCTTTGGTATAGTTAAATGGTTGGATACAGAGCTTGAAATGGTTAATAGATTAATACGCACGAGTTAAGACTAAGAAACTTAAGAAACATCGAATGCATGACCCAAAAGCAGATGTGGAACGCGTCACGATACCACGAGATAAAGGAGGAAGAGGTATTCGCGATGCAGTATGGGCTTGTCACCAACAAATCAGCGGTCTGAGAGATTTCTTCCGAAACAACCCTCATAAAATGCACCAAGCAGTAGTAAAAGCTGACAAAAGATACACGCCATTAAATCTAGCCGATGATAACCATACACCGCTCCCATTAAGAACAGTGGAAGACAAAATAGCTGCTTGGAGCGCAATAGAGCTTCATGGAAGATTTAGATACGACCTAAACGAAGAAAATATAGACTCGGAAGCTTCTTTAAAGTGGATTAAAACAGGAAGTCTATTTCCTGAAACAGAAGGATTTATGTTCGCAATCCAAGATCCAACAATAAAAACTAGAAACTACCTCAAGTACCTACATAATCAAGGAGAATATCCCCAATGACCGATGTCGAAGATGCAACAGAACCAAGAAACTATAGAGCACATATTATCCGCATGCAAAAGATTCGCCCCAACAAAATATCTAGAGAGACACAACAAAGTTGCTACAATCATATATTTAGAAATTCTCAAAGCACTACTCTCCTCTAAATGAAGAACCATACTATTCCTATAAACCTACACCTGTCGTTGAAAAAGGTCAGATAAAAATATACTGGGATAAAGCTATTATCACAGACAAAACGACACCGCATAACAGACCAGATATTACAGTAATAAACAAAGAAACAAAATCAGCAATGCTCATAGACATATCTATACCAAACAACAACAACATTCAAGCAAAACATATACAAAAAATCGAGAAGTACACTCATCTGAAAAGGGAAATTCTAGATATGTGGAACCTCGATGAAGTGAGAATCATACCAGTCATAATGTCATCTGTGGGCTTGGTACCTAAAAATCTGAAAGAAAGCATCCAACAAATCGGCATTCCATGGAATACCTACCAACTTATGCAAAAGTCCGTCATCCTGGATGCCACACATATCGTCAGGTCATTCTTGGAGGAATGACAAGCTCTGCAGTCCTGCCTATGGGTCGACTGCCGAGTATACTACGGTTCAGAACCTCAGAGAAAAAATAATAATAATAATAATAATGATAATAATTAATGTCTGACCGGATGAGGTACTGTAGCCAGCAGTATATTTACCGCTACCGTATGCAAAGACGGTACAGTCAGAGATGCCACCTGTCCGCTGTCCTTCCCTTGTAAGTATCCTATTCTTCACTACCATAACAACCACCTTCTCTTCTTTACCCTATTCTCCCCCCACTGTTCAAGGGCCTTCGTCCAAGGAAGGGAAGAACCTGAGCAGGTGATACCCGCGAAAAGTATCTCGGAAGGCTGGCAACTTTCGCAGACCTGCGCTGAGACTACACCAGAAGTATGGGTTAGCTTCCCATGCTCCTGTGATCAAAAGCTTTCGACAATCAGGAATGGAGCATCGGATGTAGTAAGAACACGGGCTGAGATTGCTACGGGTCAACTAAGCCCTGTGCGGGAGCAAGTGGCACAGTCCCGCGAGATACTACCACAAGGCCTGGCTAATGAGCAAGGAATTGAAATTCTTGGCTTGGAGGATAGAATGTATCCTCCCGCCGAGCCTCAACCAAGACCAAGTAAGGCATATGCGCTGGACAAAACAGAAAAATTTATGTTTAATGTACGCATACTATAAGGTGACAAAGGAAGCAGACCCCAAAGACTGAGCAAAATCTTTCCAGCCAGGTGAGATCAGTACTCACAAGGGCTGCTCTCTTACAAGCTGAATTAGAGAACATCAAAGAGTTGATTCGTATAGAAG